TTTTTTTTAAATGCAGTAGCCCTTTCTCCCGCATGAGGTCGAAGACTCGCTCTGTTCGAGCGTGCACTAAGAAAACAGCAAGCATCTGACATCAGACTTCGGTGTAGGGTTTAGGGTTTAGGGTGTAGGGTTTGGGAGCTTTAATGCTCGGAGGCCCAGCCTTGGCGCGGAAGTAATTGTTGTCGCGGAGGCTGTAGCTGCAACCACAATACCTGGAGCTGCAGATCTGATAGGGTTTAGGGTTTAGGGTTTAGGGTTTAGGGTTTAGGGTTTAGGGTTTAGGGTTTAGGGTTTAGGGTTTAGGTTTGGGGTTTTGGGCTTAAGGTTTAGGGTTTCTGTGAATCGGCACTTCCGTAGATTAGACCGGAAGCTTGAAATCATTCGAAATTGCGACCCAGATGCTCCTGCTTGTAGAACTGATGCTTGGCATTCACCTCGTATTTTCTGTCAGTCATGGTCTCCGTCTGCCAGTCATAGACCCAATAGGTCACGCCAGGGTAGTTGAATGCAGCCTTCACGCCCGAAGCATTCACTTGCTTCGCATCCTTCCACCTGCTGGTTGCATTGGTTGTCGTAATCCACTGGAAACCATGTTCATGAGCATGAAGAGCGGTTCGCTCAAGCCGCATGTCGAAACACATGGAGCACCTTGGCCCTCGCTCCAGGCAGTACTCCATTCCCTTCGCTCGGGCATACCACCTGCTTGCGGAGACCCTAAACCCTAAACCCCACAGCCCTCATGGAAACATGAACAGCACTCTAATGTAGGGGCCTTAATAGTTAGAATAGGGTTCCTTGGGGTATACTACGCTACAAATATATAAGGAAAACGGATCCTGTCACTTAGGGCTCCCAAAGACAGTTCCGTTCCAGCCCCTGGATCCCTAAACCCTAAACCCTAAACTGGGAGTTAGGATTAGGGGCACCCTTGGGGATGTATACCCTCTAAGTGCGGTCCCTCTTAAGAGAGCCAGAAGTAGGGTTAAGAAGGGTCCCCTCTAAAGGGGTCTCCTTAATACTACCTACCATAAACCCTAACCGAAACCTTAAACCCTTAAACCCTAAACCCTAAGCCTAAGCCCGAAACCCTAAACCCTAAACCCTAAACCCTAAACTCAAGCCTAAAGCCAAACTAAACCCTAAAACCTAAACCCTAAACCTTAAACCGTGGCTGGCTGCTCTTCCACGTCGTAGTCGCAGTCGACGAAGGGGATGCCCAGAGCTTCTGCGTAGCGAACATTCTCGTTCTTGCGAATCTCATACTCCTGGGGTTTGAAGGGTTGAGGGTTTAGGGTTTAGGGCGCTTCTCACCCCAGAGAGCTCAATAGCTCTTAGTTCAGGAATAGACCTTAAACTACAAAGGGCTGCAATTATGATGTAAGCTAGATTCCTTAACTAGGGGGTATTGGGCTCTCTGGGACAGAGTCTGGGCTCTTGTTGAGGAATTCAAGTTCAGTGACCATACGAGGGATCTATAGTAGATAACATGGTTTCCTTGCTATGGCAACTCCCTGAACAGAACCCAGACAAAGAGAGCCAGACTTGGAAAACCCTAAACCCTAAACCCTGGACGTAACATAGTGCCCGAGACTCCAATTTCAAAAGTCAGTTAGTTGTGGAATGGTGTTTAGAATTTAGTGGGAATACAACCCTTCACAAGGGTTTACGGCTTAGGGTTTAGGGTTTAGGGGTACTGAGGTCTCGGTATGATGCAACTGAAGTCCTTGCGGGGATGGATGTTCGGATTGTAGAAGAAGATGGTCACGTCCAGACCTTTCGTGTGCATTTCCTCAATCATGGCTCCTGCAGAAGTGCTAAAGGTTTAGGGTCTAGGTTTTCGGGGTTTAGGGTTTAGGGTTTAGGGTTTAGGGTTTAGGGTTTAGGGTTTAGGGTCTACGGCTAAGCTTTAGAGTTTGGGGTTGAGCGTTTGGGTTTTCGGGTTTAGGGCTTTCTGTAGTGTGTCTGAAGGGAGTGAAACTCTGAACGCTTAAAAAGTATTGCGGCTGCATAACAAAACCATCGTATTAGGGCCCTCGTTACCAAAAAAACGCCACACACCGACCTCTCAACCATATTTCAAACTTACGAACTGAACAGAACTTGACCAGAAGTTCCAAGATCTCGAATGCCGTACGCCCAGCCAAAAAACTCATCTCTGCACAAAATTGCCCCCCCCCCTGGAAAAGGAAGCCTCTAACCTTTCAATCCCCCCTGAAGTGCTCGAACCCGAAGCTCGCCAAACCTAACCCCTGAACCATGAAACCCGCCATACCCTGCGGTTCAGGGTGTAACCCCCCTAAACCCTAAACCCTAAACCCTAACCCCCCCCTCCCCTCCCTTGTCCTGAGCACGGGGCGCAACATGAGTGTAAGAGCACCTTCTCCCCTGCTTTCGGCTGCCTCACGGCTCTGGGGTCCTCGCGATATGGGTAGTTTTCTAAACTAGGGTCCCCTTTTTGGGTCCCCAATATAGTACGGCACCCTTATAAAAAGGACCCTAATTTAGATAACTACCCATATGGGGGTCTGGGGTTTCGGGCATCGGGTTTTGAGTTTGGGGGTTTCGGGTTCTAGGTTCGGGTTTTCGGGCATCGGGTTTTGGGTTTGGGGTTCTAGGGTCTGGGTGTCAAGGTTTGGGTTTAGGGTTTAGTGTTTGCCGTTTTCTTGGCATTCAAGCTCGCTTTGCGGGCTTCAGCGGGTTGTGGGGAATGAGAGGTTGGCTGTAGCCCAAAAATCCTGACTCTTTCAGGCCATACATGAGGAAACAACCCGAAAAATGTTGGCTGTTTGAAATTCAGGGCTGAGGGGTGCTACTTGGAGGTTCATGGGCAGTTGTAAGTGGGGTTATAAGTACCCTAGCACGGCGTATTCAGTACAGTGAACGTCCTGTAGAAGGACCCACTGTTGAAAAACCTTAGCCCCCACCCCTGGCGGGATTTACAAAATTCAGGTTGCTTCAAAATTAAGAACCTTGGGGTACCCTAGCTTTTTCAGGATCAGGTTCTTATCTTTTGTTGGGTGGTTTTGGGTGTTTTTGGATACGAAACGGACGATCCGGCGGCACTTTGCGCACGAAGGGAACCCTTCCTACACAAAGTGCAGTCCGATTCTCCGTTTTGGGTGTTTTTGGGTACCCTAAACCCTAAACCCTAAACCGGCTGCATTTTGGGTTAAATTACGTCCTTATTGCGGGTATTACGGCCAGGGTCCTTAGGATCAGAGGACTACTTGGACGGTTTAGGGTTTAGGGTTTAGGGTTCATCATGAGTGGGATGATCAGTAGCGCAGCCATACTTATACGTCATGTGAGGGAGCTAATAACCCCACTTAGCACTACCCATGAACCTCGGAGCCTCGACCCTAAACCCTATACCCCTAAACCCCTAAACCCTAAACCCCTAAACCCTAAACACTAAACCCTAAACCCCTAAACCCCTAAACCCCTAAACCCCTAAACCCCTGAACCCTAACCCCCAACCTCTGAATCTTCGGACGCTCCTGGGCATTGCTTGCGGAACGCTCGGTCTTGGCCGCGGCGGCCGTCTCTTCCGACAGGAACAAGCAGGCATCGCCGTAGGACCTAGTATAGGGGCCTTAATAACTAGAAAAGAGTATGGGGATGGGACAAAAAAGGGATACTCTGCATAATTATTCCCATCCCTCTATAAGCATGGCCCTCAAGGCAAAGTCAACAGCATGGCGACAAGCGCGCGAGCAATAGCCAGAACGAAGTAGATGTTAGCCACTAGCCTATGGAGAGGCAGAGGTACTTCGTAGACTAGGCCTAAACCCCAAACTTCGCAAAGAACTCTATACTCCTGAAACCCTAAACCCTAAACCCTAAACCCTAAACCCTAAACCTCTTTGATACCGGGCGGCAGGAAGCGATACTTGTTAGCCACGGCGTGGGCATAGGCGTTGAGCAAGGTGGCCCTAGACGTGAAGGCAGCGACGAGCAGCAGCAGCGTGCTGTCCTCAAGGAGGCTCCATGGTGCGTCATGTAGGGTTTAGGGTTTAGGGTTTAGGGTTTAGGGCTTAGGGTTTAGGGTGGTGCGTCATGTAGGGGCCTTAATGATTAGAATAAGGTTTTGGGGTCCTTTACGGTACAATTTATAATGAGGAGCCACCAAAATAGCATTGGTAATTATTTAGGCCCCTTATATTAGGGTTTTGGGCTTAGGGTTTAGGGCGTTGGTAGTCTACTTGGTTTCGGGGTTTCGGGAAGTGACGCTTTTCGGATTTCGGAAAAAGATTATCGGTTTTCGAAAGAAGGGTTTCTAGTGGCTTTTCTTTCAGAACCAAAGGCTTGATAGTCTAAGGTTGAAACCATGGGCCCCTAGCATGGGCCC